TGGCCAGCTCACATACCCCCTGAAGTTCAACTACCATCATGCCCGAAAGATGGAGCTGTGAGATTCAGCCCTGGTGCCAGCTGCTGCCCAGAGCCTGTAGCTCCCACCTAAAGCTCAGTCTACCACCAGGGCAGAGCCGTAGGAGCCCAGCAGGCCCCGAAGGGTGGGACAGGGCTCTTTCCTCAGGCCTGACCTCAGCCAGAACTTCTTCTAGGATCTGGAGGCCACGAGGCTCAGCACAGGCCCCTCCACCACTGCTTAGTGCCCAAGGTGGCCCTGGGGACTGGCAGGGGTAAACGGTGAGGGGCTGAGAAGCTACTCCAGACAACAGAAATCAAATTGGCTCAACTGCAGCATACAGTTCAGGGAGGGAACACAAACTTGGAATGCTAAACCACACAGAAATGCATTCGGACAACAAAATGAGAAAAAGAGGGTGTGAGGGAGGCTTGGGGCACAGGGGGTGGGGATGGAGAGGGAGAAGAAGGAGTAGGGAAGGTGGGAAAGAGAAGAATGAACCAGAAAAGTTGTTGGGAGAAGTCAAGAAAACTAAACGACAAACCAGGAAACACAGCTTTGTAGCTCATTTGGAGAAAATGCAAGTTACAAATGAGTAGTCACTAAAATAAAGAAAGAAAAGGGAGGGGGAGAAAACCAACCAGAGTGAGACTGAGAGAGAGAGAGAAAGAAAACCACATTCAAACCAAGCAGAGTGGCGGGGCTTATCTGGAGATGGGAGCGGGCGCACAGCGGAGCCGGGATACCTACCTTCTCAGTGGTCAGGGACAGGAATGCAATAATAAAAAAGAAAGAAGGTCTCCGCATTGGGATGCAGAATCGGGGGAAGACAGTGACTCTAGCTGCTCTCCCCCTCTGAATCGGCACGAGACAGCCCTGTGGCTTTCAGTCTAGTCCCAGGGATGGAAGGGGGCTCTTGCCCAGCCATTTCTGTTCGCTTTTTTTTTTAACCCACAGGCTCCAAGAGCCAACCTTTCCTTAACTCTTTAAACAACAGAAAACCTCCAGAGGGCATGCAGGAAGCAGCTGATAGAAGCAAAACCACAGAGTGGGTGAAGGAAGGGCTGGCAGCATGGGGAGAGAGGCCCAAGTCAGAGAGAGAGATGGAGAAGAGACAGAGAGACACAGGGAGAGGGACAGAGGGACAGAGAGACAGAGAAGCAGAACCAGAAAGAGACAAAGGCAGAAGAAAACAGAGACAGAGAGGCAGGAAGACAAAGAGGAAGGTGGACCCAGGCAGAAAGAAAAGACAAAAGCCGCTTAAACAAGGCCAATCAGTGGACAGATGGGGTGAAAGGGGATTGTGCATTTAAAAGGGAAGGCAATCACAGATTCAATTTGAAGGACTGACCCAGCCTCGGGTCCCCCTGGCTTCAGCATTGTTGTAGCAAATTTCATCCCTCCTGCCTTCTGGCTTTATCCTGGAAGAAATGCCAAGATGTCCCTTCCTATCCTGGCTGTCCCACTCCAGCTGTGGTCACTGCTTTTTCCAGGGGCTGGGGAGGGGGAAGGCCTGGTTTGAGGCAGGTCAGGGAGAACCATGGGCACCTTTCCTTCAGGTCACCCATTAGGTGATGACATTTGAACCAGAGGCAGAGGCTAGAGAAGGGTTGGGGCCTTAATAGGGACAGATGGAGCCAAGGCAGGTGGCCATACTTCTAAGGCTGCAAACCCTGCACACACTTTCTGGCCGTTGTGCTGGGAGGGCAAAGCTAGCACCAGTCTCTCTCCTTAGGGGTGGAGGGAGGCCACTGAAGGCACCAGGTGAGACGGGTGGAAGGACTTGTCCCACGAGGTCATCATACTCTTCTGTCCCATGTTACGTGACTTTGAGCCACTCCCTTCCATCCCTGTGCCTCACTGTTTATTCTCCCATGTGGTTGTGAACTGTAAGGGCTCAGGGCTCCCTGGGTCTGTGAAGCAGCAATCACGTGGTTCCGGCTTGTGTAATGCCGGGCCCACATGTACCCTGGTCTTGGTGTGGGCAGGCCCCCGTGTCAGAGAGGTGAGAGAACTGGGAGCACACCAGTGACATCTGGCAGGGTCCCTAGAGGGAACACAGAAGCTGAGCCAAACAGAAGCCACCTCATAAATCCTCCCCACCTCTGCTCAGGACACCTGGAGTGTGTTTTCTACTGACTACCCTCTTACATCTTAGCTGTGGCTGGGGTTCTTGAGGTCAGAGGGCTGTTATCTCCTTTTGGGTTTACTTCTAAAAAGCTCTGTGACCTTGAGCCGGTTGCTTGACCTCTCTGAGCCGCAGAAAGCAATAAACAGTAGGACCCAGACTCCCTCTGGGGCTCAGCCCTGGCCTGGGATGGGACAAGTAGGAGATGTATTGGGGCCAGCATCCCGCTGGCCTGTTTCAAGATCAGGAGGAACTTCTCTTGCCTGGGAATATCTGGCTTTGAAGCCCTCACCTGAGTTAAACTCTATCAAGTGTCTTCAGCTCCCTCCTCCAGTGCCTCCTAAGGCTCTGAGGCAGGCACGGAAGGGGTGGATCAGCCACCTTATTCTGGATGGAACTGAGGATCTCACTGCTCTGGGAAGCAACCTGGGTGAACTGGGACAAGTCTCTCCCTTTCTCGGGGTCTCCCAGCTTCCCTCCAAGGTTCCTTACAGACTGAGGCCCTGAAGCACCGTCTGCATCACTTTTGTTAATCTAAAAACTGAAGCAGTTCCAGCTCATGCCCGCAGGTGGAGGAGAGGGCTGGCTGCTGGCGCTGTTGGTGTGGGAGTCGTTTTTTAAGAGTTATCTTCCCTTTTAAATTCTGATTACAAAGGAAAAAATAAATATAGAGATATGTACATGACTGAGGTTCACTTGAGATTCAAAAACCATCTCTGCATTAGAAGTTCCCACAGTAACACGCACAAAAGCAAAATTCTAGAACAACATAGAAGATAGGAAAAAAAAAGAACGAAAGATACTTTGCATTTCTGTACATCACAAAAGGAAAAGAAAAAGGAAAAAAAAGGAAATACAAACAAAAACAAAACAACAGGAAAAGTTACATAAACTTCCCCACCCTCTTCCCTTGCCGGCTAAACAAGAAATGGAATCACAATATTACCACGTTTCAAATGGGAGGCTAAAAAAACAAACAAAAACATAGACGGGGTTAAAAACGGTGAGCTTTTCTTTTTTTCCGTTTGTTTCTCTCTCTCTTTTTTTTTTTTCAAAGGTAGCATCCAAGAACACCACCCCCCTCCCGTACTTTTTCCCAAAGACTGTTTTTGGTTAATGGTAGTCTGTGACCCCAGCCCCATCTCACCTCCCTGGAGAGAGAACAGGTCTCATTTCACTCCTCAGAAAGACTTTGCAGGCAAAGAGGAGATGGGTGCGGGTAAGAGGCCTGGGATGTTCTGAAATCCCAGACCTCTTGGGGCCCAAAGGGTAGGGAAAGGGTTTGGGGAGCATGCTTTGTGAGTAGAGTAACAAAGTGCTGTCTTCTAGAAAAGTCCCAGGGTGATGACAAATTTTGTCCCATTTTGGGGAGAGAGGCAAGAGTGGAGTGCTGCCACGGCTTCCCTCCTCTCCACTGAGGCCAGAAGCTAGGCCAGCTTCCCTGGCTGCTCTCTCCTGGGGTTTACTTAGTTGCTGTGGCCGTTTTGTCTGCACCGGCCCTGGGCCCTGGCAGGGATTACTGCTCAGGCCTCCAGGGTTGGGGAGGAAGGCCCTGATTGAGAGAACCTGCATTTCTGCGCCTCTCAGAGGACATAAAGTTTCCCCGAGAAAGTGTCTGGGGCACTGGGCTGTTCTGGCTCTGTGCCTGTGGGGTTGAGGGGTGGGATGCTAGCGCCAGGCTTTGTCTTGGCCACCCTCAGCTACTTCTGTCAGCTCCCTCCTACACCTAAGACATCGGAGTGATCCTCCCCACGTGGCCCAGTGAGGTGCCTTGGAGCCCAGGAGTCTGGCACGTTGTCCAAGCGGGGCAGTCTCAAGAAAGGACATGTCCTTAAACAAAGATTGATCTTGAGACTCAGAGCCTTTTCTCAGATGCCCTTGGCTTTCCTGGCTGAGGTCATGGGAGTAAGGGTGTTTGAGAAAAGAAAGGGAGTGAAAGGAAACAGCCAAAAATCAAAATGAAACTGACCAACACGTACATGTTTGCTGCTGAGACCTGAGGTCTGGGGAGGGGCAGCACCCCCTCTAACTCCCTGCTGAGACTCCTGGGGCAGCCTGCAGGTCGGGGGTGGGGGAACTGCAGGCCTGCCCACACCAAATCCCCTGTGCCCATCCAGTGCCTCTGCCAGGACCGCAGCCCCCTCTACCCTGGACTCTAAGACTGACAGACAAAAGGGGTTGAGGGCCTCCCCTGGAGTCTGGGAGAGCCTCCCACCCTGCCCCAGCCCATAGTCCTGGGAAAGGCTGAGAAGCGTATTGCTCTGCCAACTCCTACCATCACCACACCTGCCAGAGTCTCCAGGAGTCTGTGCGCCCCCTGGAGGATGAGTGGGCACAGTTTTTGAGGTGATGCCGGTGTGGCTTTTCTGAGCGAGCAGTGGGTGCGCTGGGAGGTGCCTTAGGAAGGATGGACCATGGGAAGTGGAACCCGCAGGTTTGAGATACCTGTCCAAGTGTGGGCAGTGCCCAGGAAAGGACAGACTCCTTGGAGCAGGCAGGCACTTTAGAAGTGCAGCTCTGGAGTGGCAAAGGGACTGAGATGGGGGAGGGAGGGTAGGGGATCTATCTGAGAGAGAGGGGGGGCTTAGGCGGGGTTGAGGGAGGGAGGGCTTTCTAGAGGGGGCAGGACTTGGTGGGGAGAGGGAGGCTCAGGGCCCAGGTGATGCCCGGGGGGAGGTCCTGACTCTTGAATCCTGCTCCTGACTGAGACCCCTACAAAAGTCCATGCCCCCTACCACCCCAATATGCCTGGGGGAAGGGAGGCAGGAGACCCTGACTCCTTTCCAGCTCTTTTCCCAAGTGGCTGGGTGTCCCGGTGGTCAACCTCCTCTGGCCTTCAGTTTGCCAAGGTTAAGAGTGCAGGCCCCCCTCCCCCACCGACACTAGGGCCGGGTGGGCGAAACATCCAAGCGTTCCCGACCGCTTGGACGATTCCAGGAGAGCGCCTGGGAGGCGGGAGCGGCCGGCCCCGCCCCGTGACGCACTGACTGCCCCCTGCCCCGCGGCGACCCGGCCCCGACCCTGCTCCGCCCTGACCCAGCTCGGCGCAGCCCGCGCGGCGCGGGAACCCTCTGCAAAGCGAAGCGTACGTACATCGAGCGGGCTGTGCGCCGAGCCCGGGCGGCCCCCGTGCGCTCCGCTCCGCTGCCTGCTGCCGCCGTTCTGCTGGGGCGACCCCCATCCGCTGCCGCCGGACGGGGAAGGCGACCGGCTCCCGCTGGACCGCTGGCTGCCCGTCTTCCGCCCGTCGTCTCGGTGCTTGGGGCTCAGCCTGCATTGGGGGGAGCCGGCGTGGGACGCCCCCTCTGCGAGCGGCCGCTGCCCGGCACGAAGGGCAGCCCCCTACCCGCGCTCTCGCTGGGCCGGGAAACCCTTCTCTGGAGAGAGCACGGCCCCAGCCCTTTCCAGTTCAGGGACTGGGGCGCCCTCGGGCGTGGGCAGCAGCGTAGCCCTGGTAAACTTCTACCCACTAATTTAGTCGCTGTTTGCCCACCAGCCCCGCTCCGCAGCCCTTGCGGGTGTTTAAGCTGCAAGTCCCCTCCTCCAGCACAAAGCCGAACTCCATCACACCCGAGCGCTCCCAGTGGCCTGGGACCTACCTGCTGGGTGATCTGGAATCACTGTAGTGGGAGGAGAGTGAGGGGCTGTGGGAGCTGCCGCTGCTGTGGCGATGGGACCTCCGGCCAGGGGACTCTACATGTGGCCTGGGAGATAAATCAGGCTGTACTCAAGTTCTGCCCAGCCTCCCCACAGGGGATTTCTGTGCAGGCCTGATGGAAGCCACTACCGCCCCTGCCCCTTACTCCACAGCCTCCTACAAAAATACTGCAAACCATGTTAGGCCTAGAGCTAGTCCATGCGGGTCATGTCAGTTAGGAAAAGGTGTCCTTTTCACTAGGCAGTCCCAGCCCCTCAAGACCTCCCTCGCCTCTCAGCTGGTGCTCTTTTGACAGGAATGAGGGGAAGCAGGAGAGTCACAGGACTGAGCTCCAAGGGATCCTGGCCTGGGAGGCCACAGGCCTGGGTTCCAGTTCCAGCTCTGCCGCTGACTCGTGGTGGGGTTCGGGGGCTCTTGGCTTCCTCTCTAGGTCTGAATTTTTCCATTTGGGCAGGCGGGACAAAGTGAGCTGTCTTTGAGGGCCTGATACTGTAATTCTAGAAGGCTCAGTTTGCTGTGGGATGGAGAGGAGCGGGCTGAGGGGCGGCAGAGGGTACTCACCTCTTCCTCTCTTTGTTCTTTTCTTTTCTTTTGCTCTTGGGGCTTCGAGATCTGCAGAAAGCAGAGGCTACAGTGACAGCACAGCCTGAGCCATAAGCCCACCAGGGGGAGGCTGGGGCCTTTGAGCCCCGGAGCTGGGCTGTGTCCGGCTGTGATCTGAGATTTGTTCCTCTCTTGCACCCGCGGCTCCCTGGATGAGACTTCCTGGCTGGTGTGGACTTGCCCACCCCACCTCACTGCTTTGGTCCCTTTGATTCTGCAGGTCTCTCCTTTTCCTGGAAGTCCTTACCTGCATGACCTCCTGCCTCAGCCCAACTGCTGCTCTCTCTGGGGGTGCAATAGGTGATGTGGCCATGGCCCCAGAAGGAGGGGGGACTTGCCCTTTCCTTTCTGGCACTGGTCTTGAGACAGGCCCCTCTGATGAGTCATCATGGTACGGGTGGCCCCTCCACACCTCATTTGGGTCTCCTGTGCCCCAGGTTCCCTCAGAGGGGGCTCTCTAGGGCAGAGTCCAGGCCCCCTGCCTCTCTGTCCCCTCAGACTGTGGCCCAGCCCTGGGCCAGTTCACCAGGGGTTTAGGAAAGAAATGCTTTCCCTTGGGATATGATCTCTCTACCTTTGAGTTACTCCTCGGGATCTCCATCCCACCTCATCTGGCTCTCTGGGGTGGGCCCAGCTCCTTCTGCCTTTGACAGATGGACCGAGAAACTTCTGATTAGGCTTCTAAGGTATCACCCCACTTTTGGTCCCTATAGATCTCTCAACCCCACCCTCCCTGATTCCACCAGATTCCTGCTCTAGTCCTGAACAGATGCCTCCTTCTGACTGAAAACAAGGTGATGCTAAGAAACACTGGAACGTGTTTCACACAGGAGCAGACTGGGTGGGGGGTAGGCACAGGAGTCCAGAGATTTGAGTTCTAGAATCCATGCTGCCTGATTCAGGCCTCAGTCTCCCCATCTGGAGCTGATCTGGCCCTAGCTCACCTCTAGGTCCTTCCCAGGACTGATGAGAACAGGACAGAGGAGCTGTGCAAGCTGATGGCGACCACTGGGAGGCAGGAGGGGCCCACACTGGCCCAGAGGGACCGGAGGAGGGTGGAAGTGGGGAGGACAGGAAAGTGGGGAACTGGAGGGCCGGGATTAGGTGTTTGTAGGAGTTTATTTAGGCTCTTCCCCCGCCTTGCAAGCAGCTGTAGTCTAATTCTCATTGCAGGAATGGGACTGGGGACTCTGCCCCTCCTCAGGGCTGCTGGGAGGGGGTCTGGCTCCAATGCCAACAGTGGGGATGTGACTGCCCCACATCTTCTGAATTTTCTACTTTCCACACCCCTGCCTCTGCCTGGGTTCCAGCCTTACACCTCCTGCTCTCCCCTCCTAAGTCCATCCTGAACAAGTCACTGTCATGTTCAGAGCCTTGTGCTGGCTCCTAGCCCCACCTGGCAGGATTGTTGGGGGCTAGCACTTGCCCCCAGAAACTCCATGTTTAGTTGCAGCCTGTTCACCCTATCTTCTACCCACTGAGCCTTCCTAGCCCAAGGAGGTCCTTCTGCCTGGCATGCCTTTTCCCTGCGAATTTGGGGTCCTGATGCGTCTGCCTTCTTAACTGGCACCTCTAGAGATGCAACCCTTGGACATTGGACCTATTGTGTTGTCTGGAAGTTTTGGGGACCCCCAAAGCAAGGCTGACTTGTGGGCAGGCAAGGATTGCAGTTGGCCTTCATCCTCCTCCTCTCCCCTGCCTGGCTCTGGGAAGGAGTCCCTGGAGTGGGAAGATGGAGCAGGGCAGGACCCTTGCAACTCCCTGCCATCATGGCTTCCTGGTCCCAGGAGTGGGACTGGCCTCTGTCCACATCCTCTTGTCATGCCTCCATAGAGTGCCACTCACCTGTGCCGTCTCTTCCTCCGGGACCCAGAATCAGACCTGTAGGGCCAATAAAAGTGAGCCTGTTTGGGGTGGCCTGGGGACAGGATCTGCACAGCCTTGGTTGTGGGGGCCCCACGGAAGTGAAAGGAGGTCCCAGGGGAGGGAGGGTACCTGTCTCGGCGGTGTTTCTTCACACTCTTCCTCTTCTTGCGCAGGGGTGAGGAGCTCCCACAGCTGCGGACACAGTCGTGGGGGCTCTAGTGAACTGGGGCCCAGGATGGAGGGGTGGTAAAAATGGCTGGGGAAGCCCTTGTGCCTGGGGCATTGAAGCTGGAAAGGGGCCTCCAGGGCATAAAGCCAACTGCCATTGTAAGAGTGAACCAAGGCCCTAAGGGTCTGCAAATTCTCTAAGGGTAGTTGATGGAGCTGCTTGTGTTATCCCTTCCTCAGTTTTCCAGCCTCCTGGGCATTGTGAATATTTCAAACCCAAAGGTTAGGGTCTCCAATGATGGGATTTCTGACCTCTGTGGGGAAAAGCTGGCATGCTGGCTGTGTCCAGGCTCCAGGACCTGAGGTGGCTGGCCTTCTGCCTCTGGGGAATGGCCTTGGACTCTCCCACCCACACATATCCTCTCCAGGCCCAGCCCATCCTTGACCCGCTTTCATCACTGACCTGCACTCGGAGTCTAGTCTCCTCTTTTTGCTGAGGGCAGGGGGAGAAAGAAGGGAAACAGACAATTGGATGGGGTTAGTTGGGGCCCCAGGGTCTCACACAGGGAAGGAGGCACATAGAGGAGGGGAGTCACAGATGAGACCAGCCAAACGCCTCCTCCCTAGGCTACTCACACTTGTGGTGGGTGCAGGACCCGGGGCAGGTGCTAGGAGAAGGAGGGCAGGTGGATCAAGGAAGCGGGGAGTGTGTCCAGTTCTGGGGCGGGCGAGTGCCAACGTGGTGGTGGTGGTGGTGGTGGTGGTGATTCAGCGAGGGGAGGGGCTTGGTGAAGGGGAGGGGCCCAGTGAGGGGAGGGAAGTGATGGAGAGGAGGGGCTCAGTGAGGGGGAGGGCACTTAGCGCAGCGAAGGGGAGGGATTCAGTAAAGTCAGAGGGGCCCACAGGTGTGGCGTTGGCGCCCTGCGGGCCGAAGGATGGGCACCTGGGGTCCCCTCCGGCCCCCTTCCCACCCTCTCTGGCCGGGTGGCGGCTCTCACCGGCTTCTCCGGTGGCCGCCTTTTTCTTCTTCTTCTTGGGAGGGGGCGACGCCGAGCTGCTGGACCAATGCTTGGTCCTGGGTGAGAAGGGGCGGGGGTGGGGAGAAAAGGTGAGGGCGGAACGGTGGCCCCCGTCCCTCCAACCCCCTGCCGCCGCGGAGGGCGCTGACCTGTACCCCCGGTGCCCGCGGTAGCAGGCGGCCGGGCAGTCGCAGTCCACTGGACCGTCGTCCTCGTCGAAGGGCGCGTACTCCAGGCCCGGCTCGGCGCCCTCGATCAGCCGCGGGGTCTCCGCCACGCTGCCGGCGACAGGGACGCTCACCACCCGCCGCCGCGGCCGGGCCGTCCGGCGGCCCCTTACCCCGCGCGGCGCACCGGGGCCTGGCCGGGCCGTAAGGTCGGGATGTGCCCGGCACCCGGGTCTGCGGCTCGGACCCCTAGAGGGTCAGGCAGGGATTTGGGGAACCCAACTGGGAGCCTCCCTTACAGGCCCCAGCCTCAGCCATGCTATATTTTGTCCTCCCTCAACGGTGCCGTATTTTGCAAAAGAGAAATAAGAGCACGAGCTCTGCCCCCTCGCAGAGCCCTCCCCTCTTTGAGGTTCTCATCCTCTCAGGGAGCCCTGTCCTTCTTAGTGAGGCCTCTCCCCTCGCTGAGTCCCCTCCTGACACTGATTCTTTGTCCCTCAGTCCCGTTCATTGCGCCCCACTACCCTTCACCGAGCTCTCTCTTCTCTCATTGAGCCCCTTTCACTGATGCCTGCACCCTTAGCCTTCGCGTCCTATTTCAGAGCCCCCTTCCCCTCGCTAAGCCCACTGCCCCTCCCCATCCTCCCTTTTCCCTCACTGAGCCCGCTCTTTGAGAGCCCCTTCCCTCTCTCCTAGCTCCCCCTTCTCTGATATCTGTCTTCCCTTAATCCGCTGTCCCTGAGCCCCCACCTTCTACCGGAGAGCCTCCCTCCCCCCAACTCCCACCCCTCCCACCCTCCAGCTCCCGCTGCCTCTCTGAAATATTCATAGCCTCTCCTTGCCCTCCCCACTGCAGCCTCCAGAGGCCTGGCTGCTCTCCTCCCGCGGCCAGGCTGTCATCAATCACTGCCCAGTGGCAGCGGGCGCAGGCCCCAGCACTCTGCCTGCCTCCGATGCTCCTCATCCATCTTGTCGAGCTCTCCACTTCACTCAGCAGGGACTGCTGCATCTTGTCCCTGTTCCGGGATCAGGAGCCCCCAGTCATCTTCTGCCACAGATGTTTGCTCCCTGCAGGCACTTGGAAGAGTGGTGCTTTTTTCCTAAAGGCTGCTGGGCTCAAGGCAAGAGCATGAACTTTGAAGCTGCAGATGTGCCCTCATTATGTGCTGTCCCTGAGTCACTGTGTGACCTGGTGCCTGTCCCGCTCCCTCTCTGAGCCTCTTCTCCAAGATGAGAATGATAATGATGTCATAGGGCGGTTGGAACAATTCGTTGAGGTCACGGATGCTGTGCAACTTTGTTTTATATTGAACATGCCCAGAAGTGACCCTCCGAAGCCCCACCTCCAGGGTGATGGCTTCTCACCTTTCATTTTTTATTCCCTGCCCGCTCCGACAATGCCCCTCCAGATGGTTTCCCCCAGTTCACTTTCCCTGTCCAGAGCAAGGGAGGCCAGGGCTTGGATGGCAGAGCATTAAGAACGTGGCAAGAGCTTGGAATTCACACAGACAGGTCTGAATCCAGGCATGACCATGCTCACTGAGCCTCCAGGTCCTTATCTATACAACGAGGAAAAGAATATCCCAGCTTTGAGGAGAGGATTAAGTAAGCATCTGTCTATGAAGCCTCCTGACACGAGGCCTGGCCCTCAGCTGTTGCCCTGCACACACACAGCCACCATTGCTAGGCAGAGGGACTGTCAGACACTCACACACCTGCTCCTCCAGGGAGAAAAGCGGTTTTGACCTACGAAAGAGACAAAGCAAGGAAGGCAGATCACAGCTACGAGGTGAAAGAATTTTCAGAAACAAATCTCCAGCAGGGCATGAACTAAGCAGCTCTTTAAAGATTGATTTTTGTATTACAAAAAATCCCAAATCTGGCAGGGTTAGCTAGCCTCAAGAATGCCATTCCAGGGGGAAGGCATAGCTCAAGGGTAGAGAGCATGCTTAGCATGCATGCAGTCCTGGGTTCAATCCCCAGTACCTCCCTTAACATTAATTAATGAATTAACTAACCTAATCCCCTCTCAAATAAATAGATAAGATTTCTTTAAAAAAAAAAAAGAATGCTATTCAGTTCCCAAACACCACCCTGACTCTGGCAGCCTAGAAGTCACAGGTGGTAGGGGAGGTCTGTTAGGGTGATGGAAGCTCACGTCACTTCCCTTGCCCCCACAGAGCCAAACACCCCCACACCTCTCTGCTGTTCCCCACACTCCTCTTCCTGAAGCCAGAGGCCTCCTATTTGCTGTCCCTGAAATCTCCAACTCCTTGGCTGATCCAGCCCTGCCGCCCCCACCCTCCCAGGGCCCGTCGCCCCCACACAACCCTCAGCCAAACGCCTGACACGTAAAACATAGTCTTTAGTAAAGCTTAAGGGCATCTCCAGCATTGTGTGAGTGAGCCGGTGGGCAGAGGGAGCTTCCGTTTATCCTGACACAAAAATGATGGTTATTTACAAGATAAAATAGCTCAGTTTGGGCCCTGACTTCTGCAAGAATCCTTTCTTGCTTCCCAACATCCGAGCTGGATTAGCCACTGAGTCCAGGCCCTCACTGCGCCCTCCTGATTCTGCTGGCTGCACCCCTAGAGACATCTTTCCTTTCTTCCTCTGTCCCTGGATCAGAGCTCCCTCCCCTCCCCCTCCTCCTCCCTCCCTGGGACCTTATCATTTGAACTCCCTCACTTTCCAATCCTTTCAGGGAGGTTGACTTGGAATCTCCTCTGCTGGGAACTTTGAAAGACAGGCATGGGGAGACGCACAGGGTCTCAGAACCTTCCGGTAAGACTTGCCCTGGGAGTTCCAAGGGTATAAGTAGGCCTAGACTGAGGCTTCTTTTGCTAGTTTTGTGCAGCTGGTATCACTACTTCTGCTTTGCAGGCTCTCCCAGGGCTAGAACACTGGGTTCTCCTGTCCTGAACTTCCTAGATGATAACATCACTAATATGAATGTTCTCTAATGCTTAAATAGCTCTCCACAGTTCAAATCCCATTCAGAACCACTTCCTGATTTAAAGAAATTGCACACCCCCCTTTCAAAGTTCTCACATGAAAACACTGAGGCCCGGAGAGGGAAAGGAACATCACCTATGTTTTGGGACCTTTGAGTAAAGAATGTAAGTTCACCTATCCAGTTGGCTTTGAGAATTCACGTGCAAGCCGGATGGCCCTTGACTTTGCTGGCTGGGCTTCCTGCTGTAGATGTTCGCTCAGCTGTCCCCTCCCTACTCTCTAGACACAGTTGTGGGTGAGTGCTCTGAGTTCTAGACTTGGTTAGTGTTTCTGCTCTTCAGTTCACGTTTGTCAGCTAGTTGATGGCTCACCACGTGTGTGGAGTAGGCTGGGGAGGCATTCCTCCCCTGCGATAGTACAAACCCAGCCCCAGGGGGCCGTCCAAAGTGGGCTCAGCCGTTGTCACCTCAGAGGGACCAAGAACGTCTGGAGGCTGAACACAGCACCGCACGGGACACATGTTGGACTGGCTGCCACAGGCAGGGCTCGGACCTGGGAAGAGATTGCCTGTCACACGCGCTTCCTCGTGCCAGCAGTTTCACTAATTAACTGCTTCTGTTTCCCATTTGCCAGGAGCCTAATGGCCAATTGACAGATGAGTGGGTCCAGACAGAAGAGGAGGAGGAAGATTCCAGGCACAGGGGCTGCCCTCTGCTCACTCAGCCTGCATGCCAGGTCTGTTGGGGGATGGGGGGGGAGATGGGGGAGTGGTGGCAGGAACAGGGATAAATCAGGCTTGGGGCCTCACAGCACAGGGCAAATATCTGACAACTGCATATGATACTAATTACTAAGGCAGGAGTCAGGTGCTGTTCTGAGCACTTCACATGTATTTATCGCATTCAGTCATTTAATGCTCAGAACAAGCCTCTGATGTGTGTGTGACTATCATTGATAGTCCCATCTTAGACAAAAAATAATGAGGCACAGAGGTCACATTACATATAAAATTAGACATGGGGAAAAAAACTGAAATTTGCTCACTGTTTTAGAAAATGGCTTATGAATATTGTGTTTCATAAACCCTCTCTCTCAAACATTTTGTTATATTATGTAACTATGAAAACTATTCTTTTTTTAAAAAAATATCCTGAGTACACTTTAATGGTTCTGAGCTATTACAAACCAAGATTCAATATAATCACATGTCCATATATGGGATGTGTATTATATAATGAAGAAAACGATTATTCTTTATTTTGTTTTTCAGTGGAGGTACTCGGGATTGAACCCAGGACCCTGTGCATGCTAAGCATGTGCCCTACCAGTGAGCTATACCCACCCCCCAAAAACAATTGGTCTTGACGTTTGTCTATTAGGGTGAAAAAAAAGAACACAGAACTGATAACACGTGGAAGTAAAGAAAACACTGTATGTATCCCAAAGAGGAGAGGATTTTACTTTTATCCCGGGAATATGGGTAAAGTGGTTTTTAGAGGCAGCCTTGAAGGATGGGGTGAGTTTGAATCTGTGCAGAAGGAACTAGGGTGTCTCCGGCTGAGGGCTCAGTATGAGCAAAGGCGTGGAAGTGAGAACACGCAGAACGTGGCTGGGAATTGCCAGCAGGTCGGGTTGGCTGCTGTGTGATGCTGGGAGGGGGACGCCAGGCTGGGTCTAGAGTGTGGAGAGCCTTGAATGCAGGCCAGGGAGTCCAGATTTGACTGCCTGGATGGCAGGGAACCACGGGAATTTTCAGGGGTAAAATAGGACTCCCCACATCAATCAGTTTCCAGACAAAAGCATGTTCTCTCTCAGTGTCTGTGGAACCTTACTCCTCTCCATCACTTCTTTCCCAGATTAGAGAGTCAGCTGCCCCACTGTTCTCCTTGTAGTTTCACCCATCTGATCCATCTTCCAAAGGGAAAAGTCCCCAAACACCTGTCTGACTGCCTCTTAAGAGCCTTCCCTGGGCTCCTGTCACCTATGGGATCACATCCAGGATGCCACAGTATGATGTTTTGGCATCCAGTGTGGAGAGTAGGCTGGAGGGCAGATTGTCACAAGAGACTGTCACTCAAACCAGTCAATTAACTTAAGGAGGAAGCATGATCCCTGGGGACAAAAAGCTCTGGGAGTGACCCTGCCCTCCCTACTGAGTTCCTTTCCTGAGCTGGAGGTGTCATGGGCTTTTACAGTCTGTGGAGGGTTAAAATCAGGCCCCCCTCTCCTACAGTGTGGAGACCCTTGAGCTGCTTCTGGGTTTCTTATTTCACTCTGAGAAGGCATTGAATTTCTCCATGTCTCAAAATTCCAGTCTAAGTGGGGGTGGGGTACCAGGGTCAGGAAGCCGAAGGCCTGAGCACAGGAACTGCTGGGGAGGCGTAGACTCCCAAGAGAACCCCACAGCTGGCAGAGAGGGCGGACACAGCCAGGGAGAGGGGAAGAAGTTTAGGTCACTCCAGTCCTTGCCATTGCCAGGGGTCCCTGTGATCATGGGGGTGGCGGCTGTTATTGATTGGATGTTTGTGTTTCCCCAATTCATAGGTTGAAACTCTAATCCCAGTGTGATGGCATTTAGAGGTGGGGCCTTTGAAAGGTAGTTAGATCTTGAGGATGAAGCGCTTGTGATTGGGACTAGTACCCTTATGAGAAAAGACAGTTTCCTTTCTTTCTTTCACGTGAGGTTACAAGAAGGTAGCCGTCAGCAGCCCCAAGGGGGCTCTTGCTGGAACCAGACCACGCTGGCACCCTGATCTCAGATTTCCAGCCTCCAGAACCATGAGAAAGAAATTTCAATTGTTGCTCTGCCACCCAGCTTATGCTTTGTTATAGCAGCTCAAGCCAATTAAGACAGTGGGGGGGACCATCCAGTAGTGATGTACGTCTGCTATGTGCCAGCCACTAATCCTCACACTAACCATCATCATCTCAACTCATTTCCTCTACAATCCTCTGAGGATAGTACTAATATCTCCATTTTATTTATTTAATTAATTAATTACTTTTTAATGGAGGTACTGGGGATTGAACCCAGGACCCCGTGCATGCTAAGCACGCACTCTACCACTGAGATATACCCTCCCCCGCTAATATCTCCATTTTATAAGTAAAGAACGAAGGCCCAGAGAAGTCAAGGACTTGCCTGAGTCACACAGCTGAGGTGTGGTCGAGCTGGCACCCAGACCCTAGGGGGTTAACATTGAATTCAGAGGTTTGGACAGGTGGACTGTCTTACACCAGAGCCCTCTCCCTCCTCTACCCCACACTTTGAACTAAGAACTGAAGACCTGGTCAATTGCCAGGTCCCCAGGAAGGCACATGACCAATCTGTCACCAGCCCTCCATCACCTCTCTGCCCTGGGCCCTGGGTTCAGCACCACAAACAGCTCTTCCCAGCCGGGGAGTAATCCTGGCCACCATCAGCCTCCTTAGCCTGCTGTGGTCACTGTCTGCAGCGCTATTCTCACACGCTTTTGGCTACCTGAGCTAGAAGGCTTCCGGTCCCACCCATTCCCCATGTAAAGGAGGAAACTGAGGCTTTGGGGGAAATCAAGGCAAGTCATACTGTTCTAGGCACCAGGAATACAGCAGTAAAAAGAACTGATAACGAATTTACCTTCACTGTCTTCCAACATTCTAGTAGGATCCCAGTACCCTGCCAAGTCTATATTCTCCCCTGCTTCCAGAGCAGAGGTCCTCCCTGAGCACCGTGACACTGCCTCTTCCTAGAAACCCTTCCTGACTGATCACCCCAGCCTGTCTCTCTCTCTTCCCTCACAGAACATGCACACACACAGGACCTGAAGAGTAAAAGGTTTGAGTTGTTTCTTCTTGTCAGGAGCTGCCAGTAATTCTGGTTTCAGGCTGTAGGTTTGTGTTTCCACCAGAGAACAGAGGCATGTCTTTCTCTTCCCCTCTCCCCATACACAGCATTAGCGCAGGGTGGGGCATATACCACAGACCCTCAAGGTCATTTCTTGATTATGAACATTGAAACCTTTCCATGGCATAGTTCCCAGTGTGTCTCAGTTCTTAAATGCACCATTCATTCATTCATTCATTCAAGGAAAGAGATGATCAAGACTACCTGAAAAGACTTGGGAGTCATCCACTAAGAGGAGAGCGCTCCAGCTGGGGAATGAATGAGCTCCCTCAGGAAGAAGAGGAAAGGCAGAGCTGGGGAAGAGACCTGAGGATATGATTGAACCTTAGCAGGAACCAACATCTGGGAAGTAGGCAGGAGCAAGGGAGGAGCAGAAGCTGTCAGAGGCATAGGAGGAAGCTCACAGAGAACAGCATCTTGGACTCCAGGGGGGAAAGCAATTTCCAGAGGGGAAGCACAGGGGTGACACGTGTGAGAGAGAGGCCAGGCCTGCAGAGAAGCCCGGGCTGTGCTAAGTACGACACAGGCAGCTCCAGCCCAAGCAGGTCATGGGACTTGTGGGGGTAGAAGCCAGATCTTCATGGCTTAAGGAAGTGGAGACAATGTGTACCACACACTTGACAGAAACTGGGTGGAGAAAGGAGAGGAAAATGTGGGCTGGTAGCGGAGGAGAAAGCAGGGCTGAGGAAGAATGAGAAGCAGATTTAGAGGAAAAAGCCGGTGGTGGCGGGGGGGGGAGGGTTGGGGGGCAGGGAGAGCAGCCAGTTTGAGCTGGAGGGGCAGTTATCACTGGGAGGGACCAGAGAAGGTGGCCAAGGTAGATTCCGGAGGAATCCCCCGACCCTCATATGGGATGGAAGAGGAAAGGGTGGCTGATTTCCCAGAGGAGTCCTGGGGCCATCTGAGGAGGGACAGGGCAGAAAGCCAGGACCTGGCGGTTTGGAGGAGGTGTGGGCAGTGGTGGAAGATCTTGTTGTCAGGAGGTTTGAGAAGGGAAGAGAGGGGCTAGCCCCGCTCTGGGGGAAACCTGCAGGGCATCACTGAGGGGTGCTGTGTGTTCTGGGAGTCTGGAGAGGAGCTGGTGGTGGTATCACTTCTTCCCACCCCAGGGGAGGAGACAGCAGGCCAGCTGAGCCAGGCTCCCGCAGATCACCCACAAGGCAAGCTGGAAGCTGCCCTGACTCTGCTTTTACTTCTAGTTTAGTCAGAGAAGTGAGGTTCAGTGGGGTTAGGAGGGGACTCCCCGATCCTGAGAATCCCAGTGGTCTAGAATTTCTGCAGAAGGGCTGCCTGTTGAGGTACATCTACTCCTGCAATGCTGTCTGCCCTCAAGACAACAGCAACAGGAAAATCACTCCAAAGGGGCTGCTGTCATTTTATTTTTGTGCCAGTAAAGATGCACAGGGACTTAGGGCCTCAGTAAGGTGCCCTCTCCCCAAACTTGCCCTACTCTGGAGGAAATGACCAGCAGCATTCACCCCAGTCTCACTTCCAGCCAAAAGGCACACAGGATGCCGGTACTTGAGGGGCCACTGAGGCTTAGCACATGGGCAAGACCTATAGAGTAGATTCAGTGATGCTCCCTTAGTGAACACTGCCTGCTGGGCATGGAGCTCGCTGGCCACCCAGACACGCCTGGGCACTTGCAGAGACAGGCTGTCCCCACCCTCCTACAGCAGCCTGCTCCATTTTATATGGTTTTGAGTGGTTGAAGTCCTCCTGTAATCTGAGACAAAGTGTACCTTCCTATAACTTCCCTGTTTGATCCAAAGCCCACCTAGGAGGCCCATAGCATCCCAATGTGTCTCCTATTCTGTGACAGCTGCAGAGATGTCACTCCCATACAGCCCAGGCTCTCATTACCCGATAAATCTTTGGCCAAGCCAGCAATGGCACTTGGTGTGTTGGTTCTTTTTCTAGAGTACGTGCTTACTCTGGAGGCTACTTTACAGGTGGTAATAGTTGGGGCAGAGGGACAAACCTGTCAGCCAGTGACAACACTAGGGCCAGAACATTTCTCAAGTTTCCTGATTTGTAGCCCAGGATTCCCTAAGCTGAGATCTGGGCTGCCTCCCCCACCACTGGGCCATTGGTAGAACCCAGGGTGGCAGGGATGCCTTTGGTGATGCCCAGGTACCCAGAGGCTCCTGCCTAGTGCCCTGGGCCTGGCCAGAGCATCCAACGAAGAGGACCCATGCCCTCTCTTCTTCCATCTCTTGCTCCCCACCCCCAGCCTCCACCACCTGAGGGAGCGCTGGGAAAGGCGCATCTGGCCCCCAGCTGCCTGCCTGGGCCTCCCCTCCCGGTACTCTGCCCTAACACGGGCAGCACTCACATGTGGCCCCCAGGCCGGTCCTCCCTGATGAGCATTCCCTCCTTCTCCATCAGCATCTGCCGGAAGGTCCTGACCTTCTGCCGGGTCTCCTCCTCTGAGTACCTGCGGGGCACAGGGAAAGTGAGCGCTGCTCTCTTGGCTTTGGTTTCCTCCCCACCTGCCTGCCCCCGAGCCCAGCCCTCAGTCACAATGGCACCGTCCAGCTTGCAATGACCTGTCCAAGGTCACCCCACCAACAAGATTCTCAGAGTTGGGGAAGCTCAAGGCCTACCTATTTTGAACCAAATCAGCCAATCAACCAACTAAACAAACTATCAGCCAAATAAACACATAAATTAAAGGATGAGTTGTTCCCAGAGGTGGGGAGACCCACCAGGGAGGCTGGGCCCTTCCTCCTGGCCCTCTCCCACCCCTGGCCAGCCCTCCCTCCCACATCCAGGCTGCAGTCACTCTCTGGAGACATTTTAGGGGAGAAGTGAGACCCCTGGCCTTGATACATACGTGGTCTTTTCTATTTTCCTGGCCTCAAGGACATTTGATCCTCACAATAGCCTTGAGAGGTTCTCAGTGCATTCCTAACTCTGCAAGGTCAAGGCTGCCAAGTGGCTGGCCCAGGATCCCAGGAGTAAATCCATTGCTTCCCAGTGGTGGGGGTGGATAAAGTCTGGGCTTTGGACTGAAGCTCCTGACTTCTCTATTCTGCTCTCCCTCCCTCCCTGAGCCGAGTCTCAGGCTGGGGAGCAAAACCCAGAATTATCTACTCATCCTTGTTCTCGCACCCTGGAGTCAGCTGTCATCCTGTCTCATGCCACCATTGTGACAGCTGCCTGGGCCTCCCAGCCTGTGTCCATGCTGTCCCCGGGTGGGGGTCTGGCTCACCCAGCCCCCTGCTCTATGCCCAGCACACAGCAGGTGCCCAGTGTCTGTTGTTGACTGAATCTTGGGGCCCCAGGCTCACACCCTCTACCCTTTCTGGGCTGCAGGTCATTGAACTGGACAGAAAACATGGCTGCCAAATAGGAGCTGGTATCCTGAGTTCTCTGTCATCTAACCATCCATCTGTGCACCCAGCAGGCCCAGCCTCCCCACTCAGCCTGTCCATGAAAATGGTACATTGTCCCCTCTCAGGGACCCCATCTCTTTTCTGGCTCCTTCCCTCCTCCCTCCTTTCCTCCTCCCCTTCAACAAGCATTTGGGATTGACCCAGTCATTTGGGAGAACAATTTGACAATTCTTTTCAAAAGCCTTTAAAAAAATGAACACAGCCTTTGACTCATAAATTAACTTCCAGGTTTACTCTGTGGAAATAATTATGGCTACGCACAAAGATATGACTCATGAGATGTTTACAACAGGATGGGCCCCCCCACCACCACCAGGTTAGGTGCCAGTGTTTGTGTTTCTATAGCAACCGGAGCCTCCTGGATCCTAGCAGGTGGTTTATGCGCTAGTTATCATCTGTTGACTCCACTGTATTCTGCACTGGCCTGGGAGTTCCCTGAGGGCAGGGACCTTGTCTGTCTGGATTGCTATTGTGTCCCTAGCACCTGGCACTTTGCCTGCATCCAAAAATGTTTGATAAATGAGTGGCTGGTGTTGGAGAGGCATTGAAGAGTTTGAAGGTTGGATTTTCATTTTGGAAAGATGGCTCTGGTGGCCGTGTGGCTGGAAGAGAGGGACCTGGAGGCAGGGAGGCTGGCGCTGGGCTACTGCAGGGGTTCATGGGAGAGTTGATGAGGTCAGAGTTGGAGAGTGGGTATGAGGATGAAGGGGAAGAAGTGGACAAAATACCATCTGGGAGGGAGAATAGCTGGGACTCGGGAACTGATTGAATTTGTCAGGGTGGGTGTCAGATGGGGAGCACTATCTACTTCTTAACCATGTGTCCCCTGACCCCCAGCTGAGGTGTCACCTTTATAGATTCAGGCACCCGTGTGGCCCACTATAGGAAGGATTGGGTCCAGCCTGGCAGGGGTAGGAGCCCATTTCTTCCAACCCCTCACCCTTTCCAGCTTCACAGCCCTGGGCCTTGGCTCATAAGTGTCCACCTTGGACCTTGTTTATCATTCAGCCAGAGTCCCTTGGCCTTACTTGTTGGGCAGTACAGAGCCCTAGCTCACTGGGCTCTGAAGGAGGGTATCCTTCTTGCTGTAAACATCCCCTGAGTCACATCTTTGGTCCCTTTCTGAGCAATGGAGGCACAGAGGAACCACTTCCATCTCACCTTCTCCTCAGGAGACCAGCTGGTCATTGTCACCAGCACAGAGACAGACAACACAGGCCCTCCCTTCAACACTGCCCAACCCCCAGTGCATAAGCCCCTGGGAGGGAGACACAGGCTGGCTGGGCCATTGGCAGAGGGCCTGGGACCTGGTGGGGTTGGGAAGGAGATGGCCCAAGAGCAAGGCTGGGCCAGATCGCCAGCTGTATTGGAGGGGCTTCAGGCCAGGGTCTGAGCTGCATGAACCGCAAGCCTGGTGGTCTACAGAGCATGTGAAAGCTGGGAGGTGGGAGCAAACCTGTGGTTTCATTAAGACCTGGAGCGGGACATGGGCAGGGACTTAGCGCTCATCCCAGAGCCAGCAGGTGTAAGGTGACGTGACTAACTCTAGCACCTGTTGTTGGGGGGCCAGGGGTGCTGGATTGAACTGACTCTGGAAGACCCTTTTATGCCCCAGGGTTTCTTGCTGGGAGAAGCTGGGGACCCAGGGATGACATCTGATTATTGGGCAAAGTGGTCTCAAGTGTGACCACGGCCTCAGAGTCTCCTCTCAGACCTCTCAGCGGAGGCCACGGGGACAGTCATTAAAAGGAGAGGCAGGAGAGCCAGGCAGTCCTGTTTCTGAATCCTGGCATCCTCCACTTTCTAACTCTGTGAACTCAAGCAAGTCCATGTACTTCTCTTAGCCTGAGCCTCTACATCTGTGAAACCAGGAGAGTAACTTGTTTTGCAAGGTTCTCCTAAGGACAAAGGGAGATGATTCATATAAAGCACTTTTCACAGTGCGTGGCATACAGTAGATGCTCAATAAATGGTGGTGGATTAAGGATTATCTGTCCCAGGGCAGGAGGGACAGAGGGTCCAATCATCCCAGGCTCCCTGCCGTTTTCTACTCTAGACCCCTTTCAGGTCAGCATGGTCCTGGGTCAGGAATCACTGGGGCCTCTCCCCTTTGCTCTCCCAGGAGGCAAAGGCTGGGATGGAGAGGGAGGTTGGTACCCAAATCATCCACTCCCTGTGGATGTGGCAATACCTGCCAACTTAAGGCCACACAGGGGACCTTGCTGGCTAAAAGTCAAGTGCTTGGATGAGGGGGAGTGGGTAGGCGGGACAAGGATGCTTGTCTCAGCGCCCCAGCCTCCTGGCTCAGACGCTCCTCCAGCCAGTCTGGCTCCCTCCTTACCACTGCACTCTATGGGAAGGATATGCCAAATTCATTTTTGATTTGGGGACTTTCTGGGTTGCCCTCTGGGGCTCGGGTGAGGTGAGGGGACAGTGCATTTTAAAAGAGGTCCCCAGAGTGAAAAATGTTTCATTCTGCCTGTTTTTGTGCAGACCCAGCACTTCCTAGACAATCACTTCCTTGGTCATTAATTTGACCTTCGCCACAGGTCTGAGGTGGGTGGTGGCCTTACAATTTATTCCCATTTTACAGATGAGGAGACAGAACAGGGAGAGGGGAGGGCTCAAAGCTCCAAGTCCAGCTAGGGGCAGAGCCATGCTCCATCCAACTGAGTGTCCTCTGGGAAAGGGTATGGGTAAGGTGTGGGAGGGGATGTCTGGGGTTGGGGCTGGAGCATCACATCACGAAGGTTGGGGGCTCTGTCCCTGCCCCTACGGTGATTGCAGGTTGCACATAGAGGCTGCTCAGGAAGATGACTCCAAATGCAGCATCAATCACCAGTGGATCAGCCACCATCCATCAATATTAAGGAAGGAATTGCTATTTAATGGGGCTAAAGAATGTATGACTAGTGGGAATATTTGTCAAATGCCCAAGAACCTGGTAAATAAATGCGAGTGAACCAGTGTTTCTAGAAATGGATATTAATGACTGGATTTTATAACAGAGCAAGAGTCCCTCTTTAGTTTTGTGGAGCACTTTTGGGGGACTGGCTGGGGATGTGGGAGCCCTGTACATGCCTTTGTCCACAGGACCCTCAGAACAACTCCCTATTTGACAGGCCAGTAGCTGTGGCTTGCCCAGGATCACGGGCTGGAGCTGGAAGCCTGGATTGTTGGGTTCCAGAGTGGCTGTGTCCTCTACCGAAGAGGCAGCCGCTAAGAGATGGGGAGGAGAGGGGGATGGTAACTGGAAAGCTAGCTCTGTGGGAGACTCCAGTCTAAGGACCATCTGAAGTGAGGGCTTGGGTCAGGGAAGGGCCCCTGAGGCGTGAGTCCTGGATGCCTTGCGGGGCTGGGGGATGACACTTAGTACAGGGCCAAATACCATCCGTCCTCTCCACCTGAGGCTGCCTTTGTGGGGTAATATGCCTTCTGTGTGCAGGTTTATTCAGCCGGGGGAGGGGGCTTGGGAAGGAGGGAGCACCATGAGGGAGAAGCCTTGGGGGGTTCCCTGAAAGGTTGGGGCTCTGTGAGGGGGAGGGTTTTCAGAAGGGAAAGTTTCAGTGAAGAGGATGGGGCTTAGTGAGTGGAGAGGGGATCAGGAAGGGGGCGTGACTTTGTTAAGGGAAGAGAGTGGGTCTCTGTATAGGGGAAGGGGGCGGAACTCTGTGAAGGGGAAGCGGGTGTTTTCCAAGGATAAAGCACAGAAGGCTGGTTCTTCTCAGTCTCAGTCATCCGGCTCCCTAGCCACGCCCACCCGCCCTCCTCTCCAGGAGTCTCCCAATTCAATGGAATTTGCAGGTTTAATTAAGCTCTGAAGCTCTTTCTGCAGAAGGATACTCCACTCCCCACCCCCTACTCAGCCCTGCCCCTGGGGATCTCATTTCCTCTGCCCACATCCACAGCTCATCAAGCCTGTTTTTATTGCCAGCTGGAGGCCTCCTTTCTGTCTGTCTTCAGCAGCCTTTCACCCATCCATCGATCCCTGCAGGGACCCTCCCCACCCCAATCTGGTCCCCGGCTGGAGGTGAACACCAAGTCCCTGTGCCCCTTTCTTTTTCTACAAGTGGCCATTCCTGGCCCTTCCTGAGGGACTTCAGTGGCAGTGGCTATCTCTGTCTGAGCCTCAGTGTCTTCTGGGCACAGTGAGCCATGCCTTGACTGCCTCTTGGGGAGCCCAGGAGGCCTGGATGAACAAAGTTGTGGTTTAGAAGAACTGTTGTACACAGGCTGTCTGCTGCCATATGGCTCCAGGCCCTAATGCAATGGGCATTTCTGATTTCTCAGCTCATGTTCAGTGCAAGTCTGATGGGCAGGCCCTGCTCCCACTTTGACTCCCTCAGCAACCAGCCCAATAATTTCAAAGTACTTAGGGCAGATGCAAAAGGGAGCCTTGGAAACAGTGGCTTTCTTGGAGCTGCACGGACAGAAATAGCTTTGTTCTCTATTTCTTTGCCTTGAGCTCCATGTGTGATGACTGTCCTGTCCTGCGTCCACTGGATTTTCAGGGGGTGATTGATGCACAACCCCTCCTTCTCAGCCTGATGAACTCCTACTGATCCTTCAAGGCCCATTCAAATGTCTTCTCTCAGAATCTCTCCTCTGAGCTCCTGAAACACTTGGCCCTCTCCTGTCCTGGTCTATAACCATAATTTTAATCTGTTTTATGGTGAAGCTGGTTGTTAATGTGCTTGTTTCACTTCTGAGATGGGGAAAGAGTAGGGGTTGGGATGGTAGTCTTTGAGGAAGTGACTCTAATCTGGCTCTGGGGCCCAGCATTGCCCAGCACAGTGCCTGGCATGCTCGTGTGCCCCTGTGACCAGTCTTGAACTAGACAGTGTGAAACCGAAGCTTCTGGATGTGGCTGCCAGCTGGGGTTCCTTTGCTGAAACCACAGGCAGCCCTAACATATTGTAAGGGCCCACTGTGCGTTCTTTCCTGGCTGCAGAACCTGCTTGGCTGAGTCCAGGCAGCTCGATCCACCCATTTTATAGAAGGGCCTTGAGTTGGCATTGATGTTTACACGCCTGTCTCCCCCGTTTGGCTGGATGTTCCTGAAGGCATGGACTGATTCTCCTTGGCTTCTGTGAATCTGAGCCCACTTCAGAGCCTGACATAGAGCAGTTCAAGACAGATTGTTCGTTGAATAAACTAATAAGTGAATGAAAGTTTGTTTGGGCTTGCAATGGTTCCACTAGGACTGGTGCAGATTCTGGCCCCTTGTGTTACGGGCTCCCGGGTCCCAGCGCTTGTCTGGCCCCGCCCTTGAGTCCCACCCAACTCCGAGCGCCCCGCCCCGCCCGGCCCCGCCCCGGTCCGCTCACCCCTGCTCCTCCATCATCTCCTGCAGCTCCATGCACTTAAGCTCCACGCGCCGCTTGCGCTCGTGGTCCAGGATCTCGCGGTGTGCTCGCTTCACCAGTCCCGGCTCCGCGGCGCGCAGCTCCTCCTCTGCCCGCGGCCAGGCCCCCGACGAGGCGCCCGGCTGCGGGAAGCCGTTCGCCGCGTCGGGCGGGGAGGGCATGCTGGCCGCCCCGTTGTTTACTGTGGAGGACATGGTGGCTGGCCCCGGAGCTGCTGGCCTCGGCCCTGCGGGACAGACACAGACACCCGGCGGTATGGTCACTTCTCGGCCACCTGCTAAGCTGCTCTCCGCGCGGGTTAATCCTGGAGATTTAAAGGCCCACTCATGGCGCTAATCCGCTTCCCCTCAAGCTGCAGAGTGGGGCGGGTGGCAGGTTTGCACCTTTGGGTCACACCTCAGGGCATGAAGGGGAACTGGACACTGGGCTTTCCCTATCTGTGAGGTAGGTGAATGCAGGCTGGGCTCTCTAAGGAGCCTTCTCATCTCCAGGGACCTAGTAACCCCCCAGGACAATCCTCTCTGCCTTGTACTGCTGCCTGGGCCTGCCTGCCTGGCCCCTGCCTGAACACCTGCTGGCAACTCTCGGGGCAACCAAGTTGGTATCTGGGAAAATTTGTTGGTTTTATTCTTGTTTTTCCTTCAGGCTCAGTTTAACACTGCATTCTCCTGGCTCTAGTGGGTGGAGTCACAGAACACATGTGCTCCCCACACCCAGTAGGCTCTCAGACCACCCTGCAGAGATGGAAAGATGGAACCTTCTACTGGTTCAACTCCATTTCTAACACAGATGCAGCTTTCTGTTCTCACTTTGATCTAACTTCTCTAAAGTTCGAATTCCAGGTTGGGGACTGATCCTGATTGAAGCCCGCAGGACTGTCCCCTCCTTTGTTCTGGAAACACTGCTTCTGAGGATGTGACCAAAAGTGGCACTAACATTAACTTTCCAGGCAGCCCCATCCTCCTGCTGGTGGGGTGGGAGTCAGCATGGCTTGGGAGGTGAGAAGCCATGGTTCCATGTGGAGCATGTGCAGGCAAGCACTCCTTGTGTGCGCACAACCCCCCCACCCCAGGACTTATCTTAACAGAGGGGAGGCACCTCCTGAGCTATTTCCATTTCCTTCTTCCAAGGCTCTGCTAGTTGCTAAGCAACAGGAAGGCCTCCTTCCCAGGGAGTGGGATGGGAGGGAGGGAAGGGGTGGAGGGAGGTGGGAAGAGAAGGATTTGGGCACGTCTGGACATCTCAGATGGGGCCTTCCTTGTAACACAGCCCTCTCCCCGAACACATACTCCCCTCACTGGCTTCAAAGTGATGGGGGTGAGGGGTGTTCAGAGCCATGGAGTCTGGAAGGCAGAGAAGAGGGGGACTATGAGAGGAAAAGGGCTCTAAAGGGGACAGTGAAAGGAGGTGATAGTGGTAATGAGAACATACGCCTCTTTCACATGTCCATCTCCCTAAGTGTCTGGGTTCTAGGCCAGGCTTTTCTACTCCTTGCTGTGTGACCCTGAGGATGTCACTGCCCCTTTCTGAGCCTCTTATCCCAACCTGTGCCTGGGAGCATCATCTAGACTCTTCAGGAGAGGAAGGTTCTTGGGCACTTACAGAACAAAACAGTTTTTCTAACCCCTGCCTGCTTCCTGTCTGTCCCTAACCCAGCCCCTCACCCCAGCTCCACCAGGGCTTCTCCTAGGGTGCGCTCAAGCATCACCCACTCACCAAGCCCCACACAGAGCCCTGGGATCCCTGCTTGCTACTCACCTTGGTTCCAGTGCTTGGCTATGGACTGAGCAAGGGACATGTGTGGAGCTTGGAGACCCTTGTTGTCCCAGCCCACCACAGCCAACAAGTTTGTCCCTCATTCTCTTTTCTCAATACTGCTCACATTCATCCACCTCCTCCCCTCTCATTACCACTTCAAGTCCCTCACTCTGGCCTCAGCATCCTGTCTGCCCTCCCCCACCCCTGACCTCTTTCTGTTCATCTTCCATCAGCAACCTGGGAGATCCAGTCCAGGAGCAAATCAGACCATGTCATGCCCTGATTAACAGCCTCTAGTGGTTTCCTGTCACCTTGGATTAAAGTCGTGACCTGGCCTGCCTCCTGGTCTAGCCATCCCTCTCCCTCTCCCACACACATTCTCCATTTCTCTTGCATCCAGGCCTCTCCATCTGGGATGCTCGTCACCTGACTCTGACATGTCCTCAAAGTCACTGCTCACAGGCATCGCCACCTTCTGGAAGCCTCCCCTCACCCCTCTGGCTGGCGCTACCCTCCTGGAGCTCTTGTCATTCTCTGTGTCACTGTGGGCTCACAGTCTGGCTCCCCCTGTGGGCTGAGGGCAGTTTAACTTTCAACTCCCAGTGCCTGTAAAGTGCCTGAAACACTGGAGCCCAGTGCACGTGGGTGGAACAAAGAGGAGACAAAAAGGGAGGCGGGATGGAGGGAGGTCTGGCATTGCATTTGATACAGACAGCAAGACCCCTTTGCATTTTGCCTTATGCTATCTTGCAACTTCATCCCTTGCTACATCTAATCCTGCAACCAACATCCAGCCCCTCAGCCTGGGTTGTCTGTCCCCAAATATGTGTTCTCACTCCTTTGTGCCTTTGCCCATGTGGTTTCCCAGTGCTGGAACTCCATCTCCCCTCTTCTTCACCTGGGGAATTTCAGCACATCCTTCAGGGCCCAGCAGAATGCCACCTCCTCTGGGAAGCCTTCCCTGCTTCTGAGGAAAGGTAAGTCATTCCCTCCTTGTGCCCCTAGAGCTTTTGTCCTCATGTCTTTAGATATTGAGGCTCAATTTGTTTGCCTCTGACCCCTGTTCTGGCCCTTGAAGTGGAGGGGAGACCACCCCTTCATTCTGTTTCCCAGGAGCCCACCCAGCACCTGGAGATGCAGGAGGTGCACTGAGGGTGTGGGGAGAAGGTGCTCAGGCCCCAGAGAGAGCCTGTGGAGCCGGGTTTGAGTGATGCTTTCCCTCTGATGTGGGCTGGCTCCCCAGCCTAGACCTTGGCCTAAATTCTTTGACCCCAGGGCATGCAAGGCTGGTGGGAGCATTTCTGAGGGCACTCAGGTCTCCATACCCTGAGAAATTCTATCCCCAGCACTAGGAGAAAGCCTGGGTAAGATGACTGGGCTGCTGAGGGCAAGGAGAGTGGTGTGAAGACAGAGGACAAATGCTGTCTGGAGTTGCACTAGGACAGATGGTGGATTCTACCAACTTCACCTGGTGATAGAGGGTGCCAGGCAGGAATCTGAGGCAGGTTATTAATAACCTCAGAATGACCCCTGAACCCCTAGAGAAGAGGCCAGGCCCCTAAGAATGAGTCATGGCACACTGAGCCCACTTTTTTCCAAGTTGGTGTTGCTGGACCAGCAGACCAGGGAGTTACTGCAGGCATGGGTCTCCCTGTGAGGTATCTGACATTATTTATTATGGAATCCTTGTGAGATTTCTTAAGGAGAAAGAGACATTGTGCTGGTGGGAAGTAATATTCTGTACTATTGTAAGTGGTAGATAGATTGACCTATGCTCCAAAAGAAACTGATTAACAGGTCAGTGTCACATTAGATGGGAGTAACTAGTGGAGGACCACAGGGCTCTGTCCTCACTGTGGTCTGATCCAACATGTTCACCATTGACTGGATGGCACTTTGATAACCTGATGATCAGATTCACTGGGCAACCACTTGCGAAGTCTCGTAAATTCAGAGTCAGAATCTAAAAGGATTCAACAGACTAAAAAGATGGAAGGAATCTAAGAAGGTGAAACAGGATAGTGAGAAATGTCACATTCTGAAGCTGGGTCCCAAACTAACTCTCTAAAATTGGAACGAGCTAGACATCCTTTAGAAGCAGCATATTTAGGAAGGATTTAGGGGTTTTCAATGGTCATAGACTCAATATGAGTCAATAGCATGATGTGGCTGCCAAAAGTGCATGTTATCTTCGGCTCCATCAACAAAAATATAATGTTGGGTATGAGGAGTGATAAGAATATCCAAAGGGTCAGAATCCCCATCCTCAAATGCCTGAAGGACTACAGAGGAACCTGGCTGAATCTGTTGGGAAGCTTGTTAGAAGTAGGTTGCGTTGCCAGATTTGGCAAATAAAAATACAGACTGCACAGTTAAATTAATTTGAATTTCATGAATTTCATATTTGGGACAACCTTATACTAAAAAAAATATTCATTGTTTATCTGAATTTCAAATTAAACTGGGTGTCTTTATTTTACATGTGATTCCTACCTAGACCTACTGAATCAACATCTCTGGGGGTGAAATTGTTCACGTTCCCCAGGTGATTCTGATACAGACCATCTGTGGACCAGCAATTGGGAGCCAGTGTCTAGAGCAGCAGCTCTCAGATTTCATTAGGCATCAGAGTCACCTGCAGGGCTTGTTAAACGGTAGATGGCCAGGCTCCACCCCTAGAATTTCTGCTCCAGTGACTGGCGTGGGGTCTGCGAATTTGCATTTCTAACAAGGTGCCCCTGTGCTGGACCTTGAACCACACTGAGAGGAACAAAGCTCCTAGCCGATCTGGGTGGTTTCAGAAGACAAAGCCAAAACTCCTACGGGGAAGTCATCTTGAGTGGACTTCAGCTAAGACCAAGGTAGGATTTTTTCCCTTAACAATCAAAACTTAAAAAAAAACCTGAGCTGTTCATCCCAGGATGAGTGAGTTCCCCATTACAGGAGATGCTCAAATAAGAGATAGACTATATTCACTCAACAAACACAACAAATACTCAGCATCTACTCGCCACTGCCCCTCCCCCACCTCCCCAAGGCTGGATGGAGATTTAGAGATGAACAAGACCCCATCCTAGCCCTCTGGGAGCTCTCAGCTGATTTGGGAAACCAATAGGTATCACAGCGTAATGTGATAAAAGAATGTCTGCATCTCCTCCTGGTTGGTCCGGGCAGGCTTCCCAGAACAGGTGGGAGGGGCTGGAGACAGGGACACCAGAGCAGGTGGGGCCTGACCAGGATTCAAGAAATAAACAGACAGACTTGGCAGGACTGTATTGGACTGGGTGTGGGCTGGGGGAGGCGCCTTGGATGCCACTGGGTCTCTGACTTGTGTGGCCAGCTGGATGGTGCAGCCACTTACTGTGATGGGGAATATGGAGGGCAAACAGGTTTGTTAAGGGTGAGGGGCTTATGGGGGTCAAACAGGCAGTTACGAGGTCTAGAGCTGTAACCCTGACCCTGACTTGTTAAGGTCCT